AAGAAAGTTACTACATAATATTAAAAGGATCAATCCAACAAGAGGATATAACCCTGGTAAACATATGCACACCAAAATATGGAAATTCCAAAATATATTAAAAAACTTCTGGAGGAATTCAAGGGAGAGATCAATAGTAATATGATCTTAGTGGGTGATTTTAACACCCCACTTACTCCATTGGATAGATTTTCCAGACAAAAACTTAACAAGGACATGGAGTCCTTAAATGATGACCTAGATCAGTTGGACCTAATTGATATTTACAGAACATTTCACCCCAAAGCAGCAGAATATACATTCTTCTCAAGTGCACACAGGACCTTCTCAAAGATAGACCACATGTTAGGACACAAAGTAAGTATTTACAAATTCAAAAAGATTGAACTCATATCAAGCATCTTCTCAGACCACAATGGCATGAAACTAGAACTCATTTATAACAAAAACACACAAAAATATCCAAACACTTAGAGGCTAAGTAGCATGTTATTAAACAATGAATGGGTTACCAATGAGATCAAGGGAGAAATTAAAAACTTCCTGGAAACCAATGAAAATGAACACACAACAACACAAAATCTATGGGATGTGGTGAGAGTAGTCCTGAGACGGAAGTTCATAGCACTACAGGACCACCTTAAGAAACAAGAAAAATTCCTAATTGACTCTAACCCTACAACTCAAAGATCTAGGAAGAAAACAAACAGAAAAACCCTAGAGCAAGTAGAAGGAAAGAAACAGTAAAGGTCAGAGCAGAAATAAATGACATAGAGACAAACAAACAAACAAACAAACAATTCAAAAGATCAATAAAACAAAAAGCTGATTCTTTGAAAAGATAAACAAGACAGATGGACCTTTAGCCAGACTCACTAAGAAACAAAAAGAGAGAAACCAAATAAACAAAATCAGAAACAAAAGGGGAACAGTAACAACACACCACAGAAATACAAAGGATCATCAAAACATACTATGAACAATTATATGCTAACAAATTGGACAATCTAGGTGAAATGGACAAATTTTTAAAAACACACAGCCTCCCAAAATGGAACCAGGAAGAGATAGAAAACTTGAACAGACCAATAACAACAAAGGAAACTGAAGATGTAATCAAGAAACTCTCAGCAAACAAAAGCCCATGTCACGATGGCTTCAGGCGAGAGTTTCATCAACCATTGAAAGAAGATCTAATACCCATTCTCCTCAAACTATTTCAAAAAATCCAAGAGGACAGAACACTTCCCAACTCATTTTGTCAGGCCAGCATAATGCTAACTCCAAAACCGGATAAAGACACTACAAAGAAAGAAAACTACAGTCCAATATTCCTGATGAACACAGATGCCAAAATTCTTAACAAAATATTAGAAAATCAGATCAAACAATACATCAAAAAAGTATTCATCATGACCAAGTGAGATTAATCCAAGGGATGCAAGAATGATACAATATTTGCAAATAAAAAAATATGATACACCACAGAAACAAAATGAAAAATAAAAACTGTATTATCATATTAATAGATGCTGAAAAAGCATTCAACAAAATTCAGCACCCATTTCTGATAAAAACGCTCAGCAATGTGGGAATAGAGGGATTATGTCTCAACATAATAAAGACCATATATGCAAACACTTACAGCCAACATCATACTCAATGGGCAAAAACTAAAAGCAATCCTCTTAAGAATGATAACAAGACAGGGATTCCCACTTTTGCCACTCTTAAATAGCACTGGAAGTTTTAGCCACAGCAATTAGGCACAAAGAAAAATAAAAGGGATCCAAATTGGAAAGGAGGAAGTGAAACTCATTATTTGCAAATGACATAATATTGTACCTGAGAAAACCCAAAAGACTCCATCAAAAATCTATTAGATTTAATAAATGAATTTGGCAAAGTAGCAGGGAACAAAATTAACATCAAGAAATTGACGACATTCTTATAAAGCAATAATAAACTCACAGAATGAGAAACTAAAAGAACAATCCCATTTAACATCGTGGCAAAAAAAATTAAGATACCTAGGAATAAACTTAACCAAAGAAGTAAAGGACCTATTTACAGAAAACTACATACAGGTCATTGAAAAAATAAAGAGAGGAAGATATAAAAAAGTGGAAGCATATACCTTGTTCATGGATTGAAAGAATTAACATCATTAAAATGTCCATACTACCCAAAGCAATCTATAGATTCTATGCAATTCCCATCAAAATACCAATGACATATTTCACAGAAGTAGAACAAATACTTCAAAAGTTCATATCAAAACAAAAAAGGCTCTGAATAATCATAGCAATCTTGAAAGAGAATTAAAAAATATGAAGGATCACAATACCAGATATCAGGTTATACAACAAAGCCACTGTAATCAAAACAGCTTAGTACTGGCACAAGAACAGGCATATAGATCAATGGAACAGAACAGAGATCCCGGAAATTGACCCAAGACATTATGCTCAATTAATATTTGACAAAGGTGGCAAGAGCATACAGTGGAGTAAAGACAGCCTCTTTAATAAATGGTGTTGGGAAAACGGGACAGCTGCATGCAAATAAATAAATGAATAAACAAACAAACAAACTAGACCACTAACTTACACCATACACAAGAATAAACTCAAAATGGATAAAAGACTTAAATTTGACTCGTGAATCCGTAAATATCCTAGAATAAAATGTAGTCAACCAAATTTCACACATCAGATGCAGCAGAATTTTAAGCTTCTGCACAGCAAAAGATACAAACATCAAAATAGAAAGGGTACCCACATTTCTCCCTCCTCTCTTTCTCCCCATTCTCCTCTCAAACAAAAACAACAGAGATCTATTATTCATTCAACTTATATTCCCTCATGTAAGTTTCCCCCAGGAAAACAAAACCACTAGAGTCCTGGAGGAGCTCCTATCAGAACTTAAGTGGGGGTAGAGTACTCAAGCACTGCAAGAAATGGACTGGATGTTTTACTTCCCATATGCCACCTTCTGGACTGAAAGACTTATTTTCCCCAGCTGTGTAGAAGAGTGTATGAGACAGCTTTAACTGTCACTTAGGGAATTTTTTTGGCTGAAGGAAGTCACTCACCCAAGCTCATGATCCTGCCTTGGTGTGGCCTAAATCCAATCACTGTTCAACATGGATGCATAAAATCCCTGTCCCTCAGCTTGGGATAATTCTAAAGGGCCACTTTAACCTCAGAGCTTCATATGGGGTCTTCTGAGGCCACAGAGTAACTGAACTATAATTTATCTTCTCTCTCTGCCTGGTTGTCCTTCCAGCCCATCTCTGCACAGGTTCTTACCTGAGAGCACTCCTTAATATTTTTCTATATTCTACTTTCTCATCAAGATTGCTTCATTGTAACTCCAATTTGCAATGGTGACCTTAAAGCTGAGATTAGAACAGTGACCATGAGCCAGAGAGTTGAAAATCTAGTACAGAAAATTTAAGCAGAAAAAAATAGTTGAAAGCTATCATTTCATAGGTGGGAAGGAGCTTCATATGTTGAGTAACATGGAAGAGATCAATGTTTGAGTATGAAGGAAGCAGAGAAAGAGTGATATGAAATGAATTTGGAGATGTAGTCATAATGCACATTATGCCATGGGGGACCTTGTAGGCCATGGTAATACTTAGTTTCTATTTTTTTAAATATCGGGCAATAATTATAATGATAGGCATTTATGAAGTAGAGAGACATGATCTATGTTTTGAAAAGACCACACTGGCAGCAGTGAGTATGACTGGAAGAAAGAAAGAAAATTGGAGGATTTTATATTAGCTTAAGTATGATGATGGCAGCAGGGACTAGGCTTGCGGCAGTGGAGAACTAAGTACAGAGATTCAGAATATATTTTGGAGTTAGAAGGGAAGGAAACTTGCTCATCAGGTGGATGTATGATTGAGGGAGAAGGGAGAAACTGAGATTGCTATTGGTTTTATGGCTTGAGTAAATGGGTGGTTAGTTGAGTAATTTATGGGTACTGGAGACAATGGGGGAGAATTTGAAGTTTGCTTGGCTACTTGGTTTTTAAGTGAAGCTTTGGGGATTTAAGAGGTTTATTTTGGACACAGACACTTAAACATTCATCCAAATAGAGATTTCAAATAAGCAGTTACATGAGCCTGACACTCAGGTCTAGGGAGAAGGCAGAATGAGGACACCTACTGCCATTTGGAGTTAAAAAAACAAACAGCATATTTGTTGTTGTTGTTACACAAGATGTTTTGTCTTTGTTCATTGATCAGTCGCATATAATGGAAGGAATATATAAGTCTGAATTAAATGGGCTTGAATACCAACTATCCCATTTAAGTATTGTTACTTAGGCTGTTTTCACTTCATTTTCATTAAAAATTTAACCAAAATTTTCTCACTGGTTTTTATAGTGCCGGTTTCTGCTCTAGGTAAGCAAATATTTATATATCATGTTACCTTGAAAGCATTTTTGTTTCCTTAGATTTAAAGCTAGTTGATTGACTGGAAAACTCACCTCTCTGATAGGTTCCAGTAAAGTTATAATATTGAAGATTACTTAGGTAATTGTTTGCTAGAATGGGAATGATGCTCTTTCCATATTTTTGCATCTTAAACAGAAGCACTGCTAGTCTACATGTAAGAAATTTGAGATGCCTATAGAACATCTAAGTTTTAGATGTTCTATGTTTTCATTGGAAATTCTTCAGATTAGGAAAAAGGCATTGACTGAAAAAGATTGCAATGTTATCAGCTTCAAAATGATAACTGAAAAAAAGCAAGAATAGATGAGATTACTTAGGGGATATTTATAGACTTACTGTGAAATTCTAAAACTTTTGTTATGCTACCAAATTGTTTTTCCTTTTTACAGTTCCCATTTTATATTTTGATTTATTTTTCTTCATGAGCTTATGTGATATTGTTCCTTCTATGTATGGTTCATATGAGTGCTTGTTCCTCCAAAGTGATAGGTATAGATAAAATTAGTATTTTGGGGTTTTTCCCTCACAGGCATTCCAAGTGAACAACACTACAAAACTAGCTATAAAAGACGTGTCCTTGAATTTATATGAGGGTCAGATCACTGTTCTTCTAGGACCTAATGGGGCAGGAAAATCTACTACTTTATCTATTCTTTCAGGTATGTATTTAGCTCTGTTCAGAGGGAGTCCTCATATAGACACCTGTAGATTAAACTTACAAAACTTTTGTAAATTCCCTTAAAGTTAATAGTTTAGTCATTTCAGTGATTATTTATTAACATTCTTATTAAGTTGTAAATAAATTTTTGTGAGAGATATCAGGTGTCAGATTTTGAAAAGACATCAAAGTAGCCATTACAAACATGTTTTAAAATATAAAGGAAACCATAATTAAATCAATAATGGAAAGTATGAAAACAATATCTCATTAAGTAGAAAGTATAAGTAGAAAAATAAAAATTATTTTTAAGAAACAAGGAGGAATTCAGCAACCAAAGAGAAAAATTTATTAAATAAGTTAGCAGTAGATTAGAATTGTCAGGAAAGAATCAGTGAGATTCCAAAATGGTGGCAGAGTGAATGAAAGCTACACAGACCATCTCCCAGGAACAAACTGGAATTACAACTAAAATAAAGACAACTTGTCAGGAAAAACCAACAGAAAAGCAGTTTTTGAGGACCATACAACCAGGGACATGGAACCAATCCTGGTAGGATTGCAGAGGTGCGAGAGGTGGGCTGGGAGCCCACGAACAGCAGCACTCTTACCTGTGAGCATCACCCTCGGGGTTAAACTCCCAAGTGGCTCTACAGAACTGAGAGCCAGGAGACAGTGCTAAAATAGCCACAGCCACTCACCTTGGGCTCTGGCAGAGGGAAGGAAGACTGGACTGGAACTATGTGGAGACACATAGGATTGGGAAGGCACTCAGAGCTTCTGCAGAGTTGCGGCCACACAGGATGGTGGCCATCTTACTCCTTCTCAGGGCTCTGGGGACAGGTGGCAACCTCTCCCTTGGAGATTCAACCCCAGCATGTGGGCCATTGAAATGAAAATTGAGGCTCATTAACAACCAGCATCTGCCCCACCCTCAGGAAATCCCCTTACACTAAATACCTCAGAGAGTTTTTTTATTCAACTTAGAACCCAAGGCTCTTCAAGTAACCACTACTAATAGCCTCCACTCAAAAAGCTAGAGGATAACTGAACCATTCCTGGGCTTGCAACTCTACCCAGGAAAGTAAGACTTGACAGTGGTGTTTAAGGTGGGTCCTCCTTCACTTATCCAAACCCAGTAGAGGGAGCTGCCAACAGAAGAACATCAATACCCACAGGGAAAATTTGGCAGACTCCAAAACATACTGAGATAGCCAAAATGGTGAAACAAAGAAACAAATCCCAAATGAAAAAACAAGAGACCTCCACTGAAGATGAGATAAATGAAATGCAGTTAAGCAACTTAACAGAGCTAGAATTCAGAGCCATGATCTTAAAGTAAAGGAAGATCAACAGCATGTGTAAGGATATGAGCACCATGAGCAAAGACATAGAAACATTGCAGATCAGCCAGATGGAAATGGAAAACTGCCAAGAAGAAATGAAGAAGGACAGTAGAAAGAAAGAACATATTGGAAGGACTAAACAGCAAACTAGAGGAAGCTGAGGACCAGATCAGTGAATTAGAAGACAGGGTAGGAAAAATCAATCAATCAGAAAACGAAAGGGGAAAAAAAAAAAACCAGTTATAAAACAGGAAAACAGTTTAAAAGAACTGTGGGACAACAGGAAACGTAATAATATTCACATCATAGAAGTCCCTGAAGAAGAAGAAAATGAGCAAGGGTTAGAGAATATATTTAAAGAAATAGTGACAAAAAACTTCCCTAATTTTGTGAAGGAAGAAGGCATTCAAGTTCATGAAGCACAGAGAGCCCCAAGTAAGAAGAACCCAAACAGCCCCACACCAAGTCACATAGTAATTAAAATGCCAAAAATTAAAGACAGAGAGAATCCTAAAGGCAGCAAGAGATAAGCAACAGGTTTCCTACAAAGGAACTCCCATAAGGCTATAATCTGACTTCTCAACAGAAATACTACAACCCAGAAGGGAATGGCATGAAGTAATTAAGGTCATGAAAAACAAGGATCTGAATCTACGACTACTCTACCGAACAAGGCTTATTATTCACAATAGAAGGTCAAATAAAGACCTTCCCAGACCAAAAAAAAAAAAAAAAAAAAAGCTAAATGAATACATTAGCACCAAACAAGCACTTCAAAAAATGTTAAAAAGACTGCTATAATTAGTAGACAAAATAGGAAGAAAAATATAACCGCATTAAACAAAAATGGCAATAAATAAGTACATATCAATAATCACCTTAAATGTAAATGGATTGAATGCTCCGATAAAAAGACCCAATGTAGCTGATTGGATAAGAAAGCATGACTAACATATATGTTGTTTACAAGAGACCCACCTCACAACAAAAGACTCACATAGGTTGAAAGTGAAGGGATGGGAAAACAAATTTTCCAAGCGAATGAAAAGGGAAAAAAAGCTAGGGTAGCAGTACTCATATCTGATAAAATAGATTTCAGAATGAAGGCCATAACCAGAAACAAAGAAGGCCACTACATAATATTGAAAGGATCTATCTGACAGGAAGATATAACCTTGATAAACATATATGCACCCAATATAGGAGCACCAAAATATATTAAAAATCTGGAGAACTTCAAAGCAGAAATTGACAGCAATACAATAATAGCAGGGGACTTCAACACCATGCTGGCATCACTGGATAGATCCTCTAGAGAAAAAATAAGCGAGGAAAAAGAGACACTCAACGAAACACTAGACCAAATGAATTTAATAGATATCTACAGAAAATTACACCCCAAAACTGCAGAATTCACGTTCTTCTCAAGTGCACATGGGACATTCTCAGAGACAGACCACATGTTAGGACACAAACTAAGTCTCTACCAGTTTAGGAAGATTGAAATCATATGAAGCATCTTCTCAGATCATGATGGCATGAAACAAGAAATCAATTGCAACAAAAACATGCAAAGACATTAGAACACATGGAGGCTCAATAGCATGTTATTGAACAATAAATGGGTTACCATGGAGATCAAGGAAGAAATTAAAAACTTCCTGGAAACCAATGAAAATGAACACACAACAATACAAAATCTATGAGATGCAGCAAAAGCAGTTCTGAGAGAAAAGTTTATAGCAGCACAAGCCTACCTCAAAAATGAAGAAAAATTTCTAATAGACTATCTAACCTCACAACTTAAAGAACTAGAAATCAAGAGAAAAAATGGCAGCGGAGTGAATGGAAGCTACACAGACCATCTCCCAAGACCAAACTGGAATTACAACAAAAATAAAGACAAATTGTCAGGAAGGGGCAACCAAAAGGCAGCTTGGAGGACCACATAACCAGGGACACTGACTCAATCCTGGAAGGCTTACGAGGATGCGAGAGGGGGCCGGGAGCCCACAGCCCACAGTGGCCTGGGCTGGGACCAGAGGACTCTGCTGGAAGCTGCGCCCTCGGCTGGGTCCTGCGACCTCGGCTGGGTGCTACGCCCTTGGCTGGCACCAGTGGCCTCAGCTGGAAGCGGCACCCTTGGCTGGGTCCTGTGGCTATGGCTGGGTCCTGCAACCTTGGCTGGGTGTTACGCCCTCAGCTGGGACCCACGGCCTCGGCTGGAAGCTGCATACTCAGCTGGGTCCTGTGGCCTTAGCTGGGACCAGAGGCCACCTCCGCTGGGTGCTATGCCCTCGGCTGGGACCAGCTGGCTTGGCTGGAACTGAGCCCTTGGCTGAGTCCTGTGACCTCGGCTGGGTGCTACGCCATCCGCTGGGAGCTGCCGCAGCCTCGGCCATGCTTAGTTGGGAGCAGTGTCCTGAGATTAAAGTCCCACGTGGCTCCAGGGCCCAGAGCCCGGACAGAGACTAAATTGGCAGCAGCCACTAACCTTGGGTTCCGGCAGAGGGAGGACAGACTAGACTGGAACTGTGTGGGGACACTCGGGATTTGGAGGGTGCTCAGAGCTTTTGCTGAGTGCAGCCACGCAGGACTGTGGTCATCTTACTCCTTCCCAGGGCCCTGGGGAGAGGCAGCCACCCCCTCCCTTGGAGATTCAACCACACCCCTGGCCATTAAAATGCTATTTGAGGCCCATTAACAACCAGCAGCTGCCCCACCCTTGGGAAATCCTCTTACACTGAGCACCTGAGGGAGTTTTTTAGTCAACTCAGAAACCAAGGTTTTTCAGGAGACCACTACTAATGACCTCCAGGCAAAATACTAGAGGATAACTACCATTCCCTGGGTAGCAATTTTAACCACGGAAGTTAAGACTTGACAGTGGTGTTTAAAGGGGGTCCTCACTGCCTCATCCAAATCCAGGAGAGGGAGCCACAAGCGGCAGAACACCAACACCCACAGGAAAAATTTGGCAGCCTCCAAAGCCCACTGTGATAGCCAAAATGGTGAAAAACAGAAACAAAAGCCAAATGAAAGAATAAGAGACACCTACCGAAGATGAGATAAATGAGGTGCAGTTAAGTAAGTTAACAGAACTGGAATTCAGAGCCATAATCTTGAAGAAACTCAACAGCATGTGTAAGGACATGAGTACCATGAGTAAAGACATAGAAATGTTGAAAATCAACCAGCTGGAAATTAAAAACCACCAAGAAGAAATTAAAAACCACCAAGAAGAAATGAAGAATGACATATCAAAATTAAAAAACACATTGCAAAGTCTAAATAGCAGAGTAGAGGAAGCTGAGGACTGGTTCAGTAAATTAGAAGATAGGGTAGAAAAAAATCAACCAATCAGAAAACCAAAAGGAAAAAATAATTTAAAAACAGGAAAACAGCTTAAGAGAACTGTGGGACAACTGGAAATGTAATAACATTTGTATGATAGAAGTCCCCAATGACGAAGAAAATGAGCAAGGGTTAGAGAATATATTTGAAAAAATAGTGACAGAAAACTCTAATTTGGTGAAGGAAGGAGGCATTCAAGTTCAAGAAGCCAGAGAGCCACAAGTAAGAAGAACCCAAAGAAGCCCACACCAAGACACATAGTAATCAAAATGCCAAAATTTCAAGTCAAAAAGAGAATCCT